AAAAAAAAGTGTTACATTTCAAGACTAACTGAAACTTTCAGCATAAACTTTTAGCATACGCATAACCCTTTAAGCTCAACAACTCAGTTGCAGTTATTATAAATAATAATAGACACGATAATATATCAAAGAGACAAGCTAACTTAGCTTTAACAAAAAGCTAATTGATGCGCACATGCTGATGTTAAACGACTTTAGCTAAGGGTAATGAAATGCTAACGTTACAGCTAAAATGAACATGCAAAAACACACTTGCTGAATTTATCTTACCTGTGAACCAAAAGAAACTCAGATTTAAATATTAGCAGTATAGCTAAACTGTGAACCGACAGGGGAAAACCGTCGATCGGCACATTAAGACTACTTTAGCTTTAACTACAGTAATGCTGTCATCGGACCGGTCTTTTGGATAATCAATTTTCCCAGAAAGATAAAGATGTAGAAGTTAACACACCATGCTGCTTTTGCTGCTTTCCAAATCCATCGCGTGCATCATCAGCCGGAATCTTCAAACATCGCGCGCTCACGTGTTCGAAAGTTCCAATTTAATACATTTAAAATAGATTTACTTTAGATGTGCTTCAATATGTTAGTCAACATATTAAAATAAGTGTTGACTTAAAAGCTTAAAAAAAGATTAAAACTAGGGCTGGGAAAGTTAAAGTGTTATTGTCGCGTTAGCGCATTTATTGATTAACGCCGACAATTATTTTATCGTGCGTTAACGCAGTTTTTTTATTATTATGAAAGTCTGTTGCTCACTGGCTCTGAATACACATACAGACAAACCATGGGTCACAGGACACTTTGATTGGCCAATGCGTTCCTGAAATCAACAGATCTGTGACTGTCTACATTGCTCTACACGGCAAACACGTGTTATAAATAGACACTGTCTATGCTTACGCAGGTTAATCATTTTTGTTATATTAGTTCTTGTTGCTTTTGTGCAATAGCCGAATTACAATTTATATACTGTTTTTAGATATTTTATGTTTAGATATGTCTATTTTGCGGGAGTCCCACGAATCATTTTATTCTCCCGCATCCCGCACACACACGAGTCTCTTCCCGCCTGCACCCGCACTCGCCCACGTTGGGTCCTGCGGGTCCCGCTGTCCTCCCGTGGGAGTGCAGGTCTCTACATCACAGTGCAGCCCTCAAATATCAATTAACTTTCATTTTTAAATCTTTATACTTTGCTAATGTCCTTCAAACCACTATGTTTTCCAATTAGCCAGCAAGAAGTTTTTGTAAGGAAGTGAAAATCATTTAAAATATATTAAAATTTAGTATGATCATATATTGTTATATGTATTTTAATAAGTACAGGTCAGAATAAGTATATTGTTTCGTTTTTACATAAATATGTGTGTTACACTGAATGACCATGGTT